TCTTATTTTTTCCTCTCGACATGGACGTCCTGTCGTCACGGCGATAATCCATTGCAAAAAATACAACAAAGAGCACACGCGCGCGTTCATGTCAGAATCCTACCGAACACAGTGTGTTTGCAAGCATTTCAACATAAAAACATCAAAAACCCAATGCTTTTTTTCACAAAAAATGTACAAATTTCCCGCCCGGGCTCTCTTGCTGAAATCATAGGAAAACCATAGGAATCTTAAGAGTTCTGTCAAATCCAGCGATTTCACGTCATCGCGCGGTGCACTCGCGATGCTCTGTCATGCACCCAGGCCGCGAATCCTGTGCAAAAAATACCACAAAGAGCACACTCGCGCGTTCATGTCAGAATCCTACCGAACAACGTGTGTTTGCAAGCATTTCAACATAAAAACATCAAAAACCCAATGCTTTTTCACAAAAATGCTTTGGGGTGTCCTGTCAGACCGTCGGGCTTCCTCCGGCCACCTCTGGCTTCCTGCGGTGTACCAGGCCATTCTCGACTAGTCTGGCAATGCGTGCGCGGCATTCATCACGCGCTCGCCAGTTCCCGTCGGCAACCGCCATCGCGGCCGCATCAGCTGTACCAAACCGGCTGGCCGGTGTGACTTCGGCCCCCAGTTGTGCCAGCTTTGCTTCTTATGTTGTGGGAGGGCGGGTGGGACTGGCATGCCATGCTTGACTCGCTCGAGCTGGCTAGCTTGACTCCTACTCCTACTCCTACTCCTACTCCTACTCCTACTCCTACTCCTACTCCTACTCCTATCCTTATTCCTTATTAGAATATACTCCTACTCCCCCCTTCAGGCCGGCAGATAGCGGGCGCATCCGGGTGGTCCCATCCTAACCTGTAAAAAACAATACAAAATCAACATGTTTCTTATTTTTTCCTCTCGACATGGACGTCCTGTCGTCCACGGCGATAATCCATTGCAAAAAAAATACCACAAAGAGCACACGCGCGCGTTCATGTCAGAATCCTACCGAACACCGTGTGTTTGCAAGCATTTCAACATAAAAACATCAAAAACCCCATGCTTTGTTCACAAAAATTGTACAAATTTCCCGCCCGGGCTCTCTTGCTGAAATCATAGGAAAACCATAGGAATCTTAAGAATTCGGTCAAATCCAGCGATTTCACGTCATCGCGCGGTGCACTCGCGATGCTCTGTCATGCACCCAGGCCGCGAATCCTGTGCAAAAAACACCACACAGAGCACACTCGCGCGTTCATGTCAGAATCCTACCCAACACCGTGTGTTTGCAAGCATCTCAACATAAAAACATCAAAACCCCAATGCTTTTTCACAAAAATGCTTTGGGGTGTCCTGTCAGACCGTCGGGCTTCCTCCGGCCACCTCTGGCTTCCTGCGGTGTACCGGGCCATTCTCGACTCGTCTGGCAATGCGTGCGCGGCATTCAACACGCGCTCGCCAGTTCCCGTCGGCAACCGCCATCGCGGCCGCATCAGCTGTACCAAACCGGCTGGCCGGTGTGACTTCGGCCCCCAGTTGTGCCAGCTGTGCTTCTTATGTTGTGGGAGGGCGGGTGGGACTGGGCATGCCATGCTTGACTCGCTCGAGCTGGCTAGCTTGACTCCTACTCCTACTCCTACTCCTCCTGCTCCTCCTCCTCCTCCTTCTCCTCCTCCTCCTCCTCATCCTCATCCTCCTCCTCGTCCTCCTCCTCCTCATGCTCCTCCTCCTGCTCCTCATCGTCCTCTTCCTCCACCTCCACCACCCCGTTTCATCATACATAGCTCCTCCCTTTCGCACCCCTGGACGGGGCAGGGCATTCCGCATGAGACCCCCTCACCATGTATGATCCTGAAGCTTGAAATTTGCAACTGCTTCACAGATGGAGAGGTGGCCGTTGTCAAAACGTGGCTCTCGCCTCAGCGCCACGTGCACTCGTATCTACCTGACAATGTCACGACCCCGATCGTAGAGCACATGTGGGCACCGGGGAAAGAAGGAAGAGATGGGAAGAGCGGGAAGAGCGAGGCAGCAACACGAAAGAGGAGGGAGCAACACAGGAGGAGAGACGAGGGAAATGGCATGTTGGTTCCCACTTTGTGCGATTTGCACTTAACGATGGAAGACCTCTTGCGAGTCTACTGTTGGGCGTCGTGGGAACTTTCTGGGAGCCTCCCGGCGGCGCTTTTGGAAGGTTCTGGAAACTCTCCGTGGACATGGTGGGTGTTCTTCGGCCGCTCGGGACTGTTGGAGCGGGGCTGTCTTCCAGAGACGCATCCCCAACGTGAACGGGTACAAATATGAAGCGACGCTGCTCGGAACAGCCAGGCTAATGCTTGGATGCATCGTGGGCGACGCGGACAGGTGCATTTGGCACAATGACGGTTTCTCTCTTGCTGGGAGGGGGGGCGACAGAGGAGGGGGAGGAGGAGGAGGAGGAGGAGGAGGAGGAGGAGGAGGAGGAGGAGGAGGAGGAGGAGGACGACGACGACGAGGAGGGGGAGGAGGAGGAGGAGGAGGAGGAGGAGGAGGAGGAGGAGGAGGAGGAGGACGAGGAGGAGGAGGAGGACGACGAGGAGGAGGAGGAGGAGGAGGAGGAGGTGGTGGAGGTGCTCGAAGGGGAACGAGGAGAAGGAGGTGGTGGAGGTGGAGGGGAGGAGGGAAAGGGAGACAGCAGAGGGACAGATGTGCTGAGGGGGGGAGGGCAGCGAAGGGCGCAGAGGGAGCCTGTGGATTGCTTCGGACGCGTCGGAGGAGGTGCTCGAAGAAACATGCCGGCCTCTCAGCGTTTCCGTGTGGTGCGCACGACTCGCGAGGCAGAGTTGTGAGGACACAGCTGGAAACAGGGAGTTGTGTGACGTGACCGGGTTACCTGAAGAGAAAAGGCGGCACGGAGAGGAACGGTAGAAGGAGGAGAGAAGCAGGGCGAGGAGGGAGGGGCGCCTTGAGGCAGAATATGTCAGGGCGTCCCATACGGGTTCCTGGGTTGCCCGCTTCCCACGTGAAGCATCGTGAGGACCCTCTGAAGAGATTCAGAGAGGGCAAGAAGGAGTTGGAGAACCATGTGGAACCTGCCCTAAAGCAGGAACATACCGTAGACGGATCTACCCTTTCTCCGACCTTGCACCGCGCCGACCGCACCCGAAAGTATCGATGGACGTCACGGCACCCAATGTGTCCATAGACGCTCTTGGTTTGGACGTGAGAACGGTATTTGGCATCGCCCCCGGATGTTGGTCTTCTAGAAGCAGGTATGCTTGGCCCTCCAAATAAGAAGGAACAAGAGAGAGCCAGGAAAGAGGAGGAAGAGGATGGAGGCCTCGGGCCGCTCACGGGTGTGTCGCTCGGGGCCTCTTGGACTGCCTTTTGAGGGGGGGGCCTTCTGGGGGATGCAGCTCGCTTCGAGATGCTGCACGTCAGGAAGGTGCAAAGCATGGACGTTGTGAGGCCGCCTGGAACCTATGGCGGGCGTCTGGGGATCTTCTGGGCGTCCCTCAGGGGGCTATGAGAAGACCTCCCTGCCGTCTCACGGAGTTCTGGGGCCGTCTGGCGCCTTCGGAGGCTTGGAGGCAGCCAGGGCCGTCTTGAGGGCCATCTTGGGGTGTCGGAGCCCCTGAACGGCGAGGGCGCTATAATCTTCAAAGCATACCAGGAGTTATTTGGCCTCTTGAGGCCTTCCTCATAGTCCTCTTGGAGCCCTCCAAAGCCATCGTGGGGACCTCTTGGGATGTCTCGGGGTCGTCTTGGGCCATGTGGGGACCGTCTTGAGCGTCTGGAAGCTATCCTGGCTCTCTTGGAAGCGTCCCGGAGCGCAGATGTGCATGGCTTGGGAGGAAGAAAAAGGTGAGGAAGGGGATTCAAGCAGGGCGTCGAATATTGGTTCCCGCGTCGTCCGTGTCGGGGCCGTGCGAAAAGGTTCAGACGGGACGGGAACTAGCAATGTGGGCTCTCCAGGACTTCTCGGGGGCCCGTTGGGGGCTCTTTTGGGCCGTCTTGAGGCTCTCGGGGGCCGTCTTGGACCCCCTTGGGGCTCTCTTGGGGATCTTTGGGGGCCATCTGGTGCTCCTCTTGGGCCGTCTTGGGACTCTCGTGGGCCATCTTGGGGCTCTCTTGGGACCTCCTGGGGCTTTCTTGAAAGACTCTTGGGCCGTCTTGGGGCGATCTTCGGGGCCTCGTGGGCCTTCATGGACACGGTGCCAACTCTAAAACGAAGATGCTGAAAACGCATGTTTCCCGAAAGGAGCGGTACGGTCTTTGCCTCTTGGGGGTTCTCGTGGGGGCCTCTCGGGGCGTCTGGGGGGGCCTCTGGGGCCATTGGGGGACCGTCTTGGGCAGTCTGGCCGCAATCCTGGCTCTCTCTCTGTCTCTCTCTCTCTCTTTCTCTTTCTCTCTCTCTCTCTCTCTCTCTCTCTCGAGGAGGAGGAGGAGGAGGAGGAGGAGGAGGAGGAGGAGGAGGAGGAGGAGGAGGAGGAGGAGGAGTCCTGGAAGCCATCTTAGGTCGTCCAGGGCCTACCTGCGGCCTCCTGAGGCCATCCGCGCCGCCCGAAGCCGCAACCGCAACACTTCCGCTGGCTTCAGCGGGCCTTCCGCCTGTGGCCGGGGCCTAATTTTGGGTCGGGCGTGTCCCCCTACAGGCCGATGCTGGACGGAAAATCAAAAGGACTCCAAAAGATTCGAAAGTAGCCAACAATGGTCAAAAAAAAACGTCCGCCGACTATGTTTTACTATTTTTGAATATTCTCCCTGTAGAGGGACAGGCCCGACTTAAGCCGAATTTCGAAGCGGCACGCCCCCAGACCCCAGACACACAGCGGGAGCCCCTCCGCAAGGTCGGCGAACAGGTTGCAGCCGCCTCAAAGATGGAGGGTAGGCTATGCTCGAGATTTGGCTCTCGCCTTTGCGCCGCGCGCACTCGTCCTAAAATGTCGCAGCGGCTTGACAGATGGAGGGCGGCTCCTTTTCGAAATGCGGCTCCCGCCTACTAAGCGCCGCGCTCGCTTGTCTTGAAACACCGCAACCGCTTCCAGGATTCGTTTGGTTGAAGCCTCAGGAACGGTATTCTGGCACGACTTTGGATTGCCAGGACGCGACAGTCACGTTGCTTCGCGGTGTTGAAGTTTTAGGAGTGATGTTGTGACATGATGCACGATTGTCATCACGCAACAGAAATGTTGACTCGCGGCGCTGAAATCCCAGGAATTGTGCTGTGGCACGGTTCGGGGATATCCCACGGTTCTTTTCCCCTGGGGCACGTCCCGCAATGAGAATAATGTGTGGAAGGGCCCTCTGAAGAGGGAACTTGGAGGGAGGGTGTAATGTAACATCAACGGCCCGTCCTGGGTTTTGCATTGGTCCTCCTGGGTCTGAATCCCCTGCCCGTGGGCCAGCTTTTCTCCCGAGACGTTTTCTGAACGTCCTCGTTCACGGCGTGACACCCGAGGGTCTGGATCCCCTGCCCGTGGGCCAGCTTTTCTCCCGAGTGGTTTTCTGAACGTCATCGTTCACGGCGTGACACCCGAGGGTCTGGATCCCCTGCCCGTGGGCCAGCTTTTCTCCCGAGACGTTTTCTGAACGTCCTTTCACGGCGTGACACCCGGGGGTTTTGATCCCCTGCCCGTGGGCCAGCTTTTCTCCCGAGTCGTTTTCTGACGGTCCCAGGTCCCCGTGAGGGCCCCAAGGGGCGGGAAAGTTCCAGAGCCTTCCGTCACAGGTCTTTCGCTGCGCAAGGTGGTCTGGGTCGTCAGGTCTTGCATTGGGCAGGCATTCCTAATAGGCCTACCACGACATGCTCTTGGAACAAAGGAATGTTCGAACGACAAGAACATGATAATGCCACGAACCCTGACCTTGGAAGACGGGTGGGCGCGACTTACGAGAAAGAGAAAAGCAAAGAAAAGGATACCTATAGGGCCTATATAGCGCATTTGGTTGGTTCACGTGTGGTCCGATTAACGCTGCGACGCTTTGTCGGGGCGTCTCCAGCCATCCTGGGGCTCTCTTGGGCAGTCTTGGAGCCCTCTTGGGGGCCTCTGGGGGTTTTCTGGGGGTCTCCTGCGGGCTTCTCGGGCCTCTTGGGGGCCTCGTGAAGCCCACTGGGGGTCTCTGTGGGCGGAGAGCTCGAAATGTCGGTTCGTACTCCCCCCCTGGGGCCCCTCTTGGGTTTGTTGCTCCTATCGTACTTCAGGACCACATCCCAGAAATAATTTCGAGCACCCAGAAAAGTGTCGAAAGAGTGCCGAAATAGTGTCGGCCGAGTGTCTCCCAGGGCCCGACACGCGAAAACCCTCGAGTATAGGGGGCACTTGCCTGGTGCTCGAAATTCTATCTGGTGGTCAAGGCTACAGTAGGTTGGAGCATCCTAACTCTTGAAGCGTTCCTGAGACTTTCCTGGGCTGTCTTGTTTGGACGCCCGAAATGGGTACGGAAAACATGGGCGCTATGCCCAACAGCAAGTGTTGTCCCAAACCAACAGCGGCCGCTGTTGGGCAGGCGGCCTTCTCTCAAATTGAGGGAACAAAAAATGGCATAAACATAAAGACTCGGAGCTCCGCGCGGATTTCTCGGATCGGCGCTTGGGCCCCCTGGCGGCGCGTCCGGCGCCGCCCCTGGCGCGCTCCGCGCGCCAGGGAGGGGGGTCCAGCGCCGATCCGAGAAATCCGCGCGGACCTCCGAGTTTTTATGTTTTGGTCACTTTTTTTCCCCTGCAAATGAACACACGCCGCGGCGGCGCGGACAGCGAGTCCTGTTCAAAATGAACAGGAACTGCTGTTGAGCATTGTACCCATTCTTTCCGTACCCATGTCGGGCGTCCAGAGGGGAGGAGAAGGAGCAGGAGGAGGAGGAGGAGCTGTGGGTGCGCAGGCGGGCACGGCCTGCGAGAACGAAGCGGCCTCTTGGGCTCTTCGCTCGAAGGTCAAGGGGTCTTCGGGGCACCCTTGGAGGCCGCCTAGATGGGGTCCGCGTATAGACGATCGCGTTCCACTACTCACAGAGTAACTACTCGCAAATGGCCTGGATCCGCAGAAGTGGATCTGCGATAAGTTACATCGAAGCAGACATCTGGTTTTTCGGACGTTTGTTTGCAAGTAGGCACTTCGCGAGTAGTGGAACGCGCTCGGTGAGAGTAGATGGGGCCTGAGGATCGGGCCGCATCGCCGGTGCATCGGCGTTGCATCGGCGATACATCGGCGGTACATCGGCGACATCGACGGTTCGTCGGCGATGCCGGCGCGGAGAAATTGGGGCTCTGCATCGAGCCGCATCGGCGATTCATTGGCGATGCGGCGCGATCCTCCGACCCCAGCTCCTCGGACCCCATCTGGGAGACGTAGAACCTTTCCTGGGAGCCTCTTGGGGTCTCGTGGAGGTTCGTGTGCTCTCCTGGGGGCCTTTGAGGGATTACTCTCGCCTCGCGGGGTCCACGTCCAGAACGCCCAGAGTTTAGAGGTCTGGGGCTTCTTGGGAGCATCTGGGTCTCATCTGGGTTGCTGTCGGGGGCCTCCCAGGGGCCACTTCAAGCCTCTGGGGGGGTTCCCAGTATTCGGGGCCCCGGTACTCTTTGCGCGCTTGAGGGCCATCTGAAAGTGTTTGGGGCTGTCTTGGAGACGTCTTGGGGATCTCTTTGGCTGGCTTGGGGCCCTCTTGGGCTTGGCTCTTCTGAAATATGCCCTGGGCGTCGTTTTTTTAATCGTTTTGAAATCGGCGTGTTCGAAACTATTGTTTTACATCTTAGTCCCACCAGGATCACTAAAAACGCTAAAAGCAGCTATTCATGTTTGGTGCGTGTTGGGCCTCATCTTTTTAGCCTTTTTTCCACTCAGTTGATCGCAATGTTGAACATTGCTGTCTACGACGTCCTTAGTTCATTCTCCTTGCGTCCAGTCCTCCCGATATTTCTATTGTAATCATTTTGCTCTTCTCGGGTCGTCGCTGGCTGGTCGTGGGGCATCTAGGCCTGTTCCGCGCCGGTGTTAGACTTGTGTCAGGGCGTGTTCAAGGCGTTTTTAGCTCTGCTCTCTGCGCGCGGAACGGGGGGAACAGGAGGCCGCAGAAATGGGAGAGCGGGAGCGAAGACGGCAGCAAAGAGAAGGAGTAGCCTCTGGCAAGGAACGCTAAAAAACCAAGATCCACAGCGACGGGTCTGCACATGCTAAAACAACGCAGCTAAAAACCCTCAAACATGTAGCGTGTTTGTTTGCGTCGTTAGCCTGTCAAGACCCTGAATTCCAAAACGGTAAAGCAAATCCTGGCGAATGACCCAACCAAATGCGATTGTGAATGCCGTCGTTGCCGGTATCGCCTTCGGGGGATCTCCTCGTGGGGTCATGAAGACCGCGAAGGGTGTGACCGCGAAGGGTGTGCCGATGTGGGGCGGAGCCGCCATGTGGGCGCTGCCTTCGGTGGAGCTCCCTTTAGAAGCACGAAGCGTGTGAAGGCTGTGCCGACAGGAGCGGCTGGGACGCATGCGGGCGGCGGCGCCACTGGGACCTTCGGTTGGGTTTCCCGTGGGGCCACGAAACATGTGGGGCGTGCCGAAATGAGCGACTGGGACGCATGTGGACGCAGCCACCGGGGCATTCGGTGGAGTTCCCTGCGGGGCCACGAAACGTATGAGTGGTGTGCCGAAAAGGGCGGCTGGGACGCATGCGGTCGGCGCCAATGGGGCCTGCGGTGGGGCCCCCTAGGGGGCCGCGAAACGTGTGATGGTCGTGCGAAATGGGCGCCTGGGACGCATGTGGACACAGCCACTGGGGCCTTCGGTGGGGCTCCCCATGGGGCCACGAAACGTACGAGGGGTATGCCGACATGCGCGGCTAGGACGCATGTGGACGCAGCCACTTGGACATCCGGTGGAGCTCTCTATGGGGCCACGAACCGTGTGAGAGGTGTGCCGACATGGTTGACTGGTGCGGCGGGCAGAGGCATGAATAGGAGGAGGGAGGAGCGGGAGGAGGGGGAGGAGGAAGGAGGAGACGCGGGGCGCTGTCTCTTCAAAACGAGGACCCAAAACCACAGGATGGTTGGGGAAAAACGTCCAGGGCGCTTTTAAGAAGAACCAAGCTCTTGGCCCGTCTTGCGGGACTTTTGGGGGCCTTCCGGGCCGTCTTAAGGCGATCTTGCGGGCCCATGGGTCCATCTTGGAGTGTCGGAAGCTGGAAACGACGAGAATTCAAAAATCATTGAAAAACTTTTCTGGGAAATCAATGATTCTGGCCTCTGGGAAAATCTCTGGAAGTCCTCTGATGGCGTCTAAAAAGCTTCCTGGGCCGTCCGGAGGCCCTCTGGAAGTCTTAGACCAGTCGGCGACTCTTGGCACTCTCGGACCATATTGTGGACTATCTGGAGACGGCCCGGGCCGCCCACAAGCGCGTCCGCCGCTACGGCCAGACTTTTTTTTCAGCACTACTCCCGCAAGTCTCAGCACCAGGGCGTCTCGTGGCGGGCCTCGCCAAAAAGTCAACCGAACCCGGCGCGACGGAAGCACTTAAGATCCCGTCGGGGGGCTAAGAGAAAGCACGTACGGGGACAGCCGGGGACGAAGAAGGCGGACCCGCCCCATCCCCATCACCAACGTGCCACCCCTACGTGCCCCCACCTCTGTGGGAGCAGCGCTGTAGGGACAGCCCCCCGCCCCCCCCCCCCTAGGAGAGTGGGAGGGGCTACCTACGCATGAAAGTTCAGACCTACAACAAGAGCCCTAACTCGTGCCCTCGCCTGTACCCATCGACCCAAAACTGTAGGTCGTTTGAGGCTGAGCAGGGCTGGCGAGCCGAAAGAAATCAGATAGGGGGAGTTGGGAGGAACCCCGAGGAAGAGAAGAGGGGCGGAGCACGCCTGCATTACGACGCCGCCCGCCGTTACGACACCGCCTGCCGTTACGACGCCGCCTGCCGTTACGACGCCGCCTGCCGTTACGACGCCGGCCGGCCCTACTGTTTTTTGGTTTTCTTCTTCCCCTGGGGCTGCGCCGTGCCTTTCTTGAAAGCGACTCGCTCGATCGCCTTCGCTGTTTTGCAGCGGGGAGCACGGTCGAAACCCAAGTTGACGTGACAGGCCTGCAAGCACCCGCTGAGGCGCAACGTCATCAGCGCTGCCTTGAGGTCCACGCGGTGGTTCGCGGCGAACACCCAGCGCACGCTCTACTTGCCATCGTCGTCCTCGTCGTCCTGGTCAGCTCGACGCTGAAGCATCGGGTCGCAATGAAGCGGAAGACCGGGTCCTGGACCAGTGCCCCGTACTTCGAGAGGGTTTCGAGGGCCTGCTGAGTCTCCTCTGCCATCGTGCCCTGCTTCGCCGCGGCGGCCACCTTCGCGCCAGCTGTCTTCACAGCCTCGTGGAGGCGGAATATGAGCTGCTTGGCGTACGCGTCGGGGCGCTTGCCCAGCGGGTTCCCCTTGAACTCGCCCTCGCCCGCGTCCTCCCGCGCCTTGTAGTTCGCGGCCTGGTAGCGGTCCACGCCGGCTGCGAGAGCGCGCTGCAACGGGCTGTCCTTCAGCAGTGTGACCGTGAAGTTGTCGCCCCTCGCGCCCCCGCAGTTATTGTCCTCGTGTTGCAAGAGCAACTTGGCCATGAGGAGCGTGAGGCGACGTGTCTCCGCGGCCCCGCCCTGGCTGTCGGCGGCCGCCTCCTCGGCCCCCTTGTCTTTTCCCTCCTCTGCTGGACGCTTGGCCTCTTTGGTCATCTCTTCGATCGGCGCGAACATCGACATCTCCCTGGCGCTCTGAAGGTGGAGGCAAGCCTGGAGGCGGAGGTACAGGCGAGTCCTGAGCCCCGGCGGCCGGCACTACATCAGGGCGGGGCGCGCGGCACCGCCCCAGTCGAACATGTTTCACTAGACTAAATTTCCGTGCGAACTTCCTTGGACATCTAGGGCACTGCTTTGCTAGAACCGCATCCAAAGAGAATTCCGCGGGCTTCACTACGACACGGTGCACGCGAGAACGATGATTGCCAAGATCTTTGGGACCCTGGCACAGACGACCACATTCAGGACAAGGGAGGAGTTCAACATCATGTGCGCCACCTCGAGCTTGCTGTAGCTCGAGCTCAGTACTAAACGACATGACTTTCTGAATAAGGTTCACGGGGACCTTCAGGAGCCACTTGAAACCCTCAGCGTCCACGCGAGGCCCAGTAGCAGGGAGGTGATACTCCTGGATGGCCTGGGTACGATGGGCCTCTACAAGGGCCTGCCAGAGCTTGCCAAGATCCCGGGTTAAAAGATGGAGTGGTGAGGTGCACTCGCGACGCCCTTCGGGCTCGAACGAAAAACGTCATAATACAACGGCACGGACAGCTCGAGTAGGATCGTAATCGTTGACGTCTCCATCGGCAGCGACTCGAAATGCAAGGCGAAGGACATGTTGCCACCACCGGAGGCGACGTTCAAGCAAGGAAGAAAAAACCGTAGGCACCTTGGCCTGTTGGCGAATCTCGCTGTTCGACTTTCTATGCACATGTGAGGGCGACCTCAAAAGTGACCGCAAACACCGGTATTTTTTCATCTTTCTATCTTGTTCAAACCGCCAACAGACAAAGGTGCAAGCTCGAGCGCACACAACGCAGTTGATCGCACACAAGAGGTCCACAGACGTATGCGTAGATACCGGCTGACATTTCCTTTGAACGCTCGTGCCTGGAGGCGCGCATGGGCTGCCGTGGCCGCTTGCACTCGGCGGCGTACCTTTCTGAGTAACTACCGTCAACGCGAAGACGAGCACCCAAGTACCGGCGGACGGATTCGGAAGCATGTACGGGGCCCGGAAGAAGACGACATAACCACCCCGGTGGACTTAGCCCTGATGCTTTTCTGCCGCGGTTGACTCCCTTTCCCAGAGAAAACCAACAAGAGTTCACATGTTTCCCCATTGACCTTCACGTTGTCTGTCATGATCTCCTTTCGGAAATAATCGAGAAACCCATTGGTTTTGCTGAAATCATGCACGACCGTGAAAGCCAACAAATCGTCGACGAACTTAACATGTGCGAGGTCGATGTGATCACACCCGGCAGGAGAAATATCATCGATATGTCGTAGCTTCTGGAGGGAAGGGTCGAAGACGACATCGACGCAGGCGAACTCAGACTCCCGTTGGTGTTGTGCTAATACCCCTGTGAGCATGTCGCATACGGCAATGAAATGCGCGGGGCCTTCGACGGACCCCTGACGGACTCCACGGGGGGCTAGAAGCTTGCGCGCAGGCCGGTTAGTCATTGCGTCTTTAGCTATGTGGCACGTGCCGTCGTGCAACTCCTCCACCGTTGACAAATCATCTTGGGAAAAAGGCAGAACGACACAGGGCTTCCCATATGTCGGCTCAATCGACGAGGTCGAACGCTTTCTCGAGATCAATCAAAGCAGCCACTAAAATGCCTGGTGTCACACGGCCCGAAACTCTGGAACGTAAATGACAAATTCGCAATCGTCGAAGTACCTCCCCCACCAGTGCAACAGCGTCCCGCGTAGCCCGCCCACGTAGTGCTCCAAACTGGGTGGCCGAGATTTTGGGTGCTAGGGCACGTAGCGCGGGCATGGCAGTGACGTTCATGTATACCTTTCCCATGTGCCCAATCAGGTTGATGATGCGGCAGTGGTCGCGTGCGTTACGGCCATCACCTTTTGGTTTGCGAAAGCTGACCGTTTCACCATCTTTGAAACGTTGAGCGGAACGCCCATAATCCTGACATGCATGAACAACTCCATGAAGAGGCTCTAGAACTAAAGGGCGACATAGTTTCCAGACTTCGGCAACGGCTCCTTCAGGGAGATATTCTGGAGGCTGGAGTGGGGACCACTTCAAGACTGGGGCAGACTTAGACTTCGGCATGCGATCGATGGCCTCGCCGATGTCCTCGGCAGTATAGCTTCAGAAAATGTGTGTGCCTGGGGCGGGAACCGTTCGGGGGTCCACCTGGGCATCTAGCTCCAAAGATATCCCAAAGAGCCCTCGCACGAACCTCCATCTCCTCCCGGTCATCGAAACACTCGAAACTAGTTTCCGGACTATATACGGTTACGATGGGTGCTGCAGCTTTGGGTGCCAAACGACGGACAATGGCATGGGCCTGGGTACGACGTAAGTTGCCGACTGCATCCGCGGATTCCGCTTCAGCCGCCATTGCAACCGTACGCTGGCGGTGCTCTGCCCGAACAGCCCTAGCCGCCGCCCGCGCGGCAACCTTTGAACTGGGCAAGAGCATTGCTGGAAAGCCAGTGGGCCGAGGAATCCACATTAGCAAGCTGTCGTTTGAGAAAATGCTTGTTGAGAATCAGCTGGAGAGTCGTCTCGCTCAGGGCCGGTTTCCGGACAGTTGCAGGCGCAGTGGTGTACAGTGGGGCCGCTGCCTCAAGAACTGCACCTTCCACCGCAGTGAAACACGATGAAGCGTTGGGAAAACGACATTGGGGCCCAAACTCTGATTCCCAGTCGCCGTGAAGACCCCTGCTCGCGAGTTCGTCGGCAACTTTAGCACGGAGTTCAGCAATCCTGGGAGGAAGTTGCCCACCAGGGGTAGCAAACGAAGCATAGACAGGTCCTTGACTAGTTCGTCCCTGTTCCAGCGTATGTACTGCGGGGGCGGGGCCTTCTTCACTCGAGGGCCCGTGTAGATATATGCTTCTACTGGACGATGGTCACGATAACCTCCGTAGAGGGTATGCTTTAAACCCGCATGACCCTTGTAAGCGTGTGCATATATAGTCAATGGTGCTCCACCCACTCCCCATTGTGTGTTTCCACGTGCCATTAAAGCAAGACCGGCGACCGAAGGTATTCAACACTTTCAGCCCGTACATTTCATAAAGGTCGATGAACTTGTGGCCGTTACGGTTCGTCGGAGGACCCCCGTGCTTACTACCCGCCTCCCCGATATGAAGCGTTGGCATCGAAAGTAGCGTTGGCATCGAAAGTGATAATGAGGGCCGTGCGCATCGCCTGTTCACACCGGCTCCAAAAAGTGCCCAGGGCCTGGGTGTGAGCCTGGTAGACTGGGGCAGTATCCTGGCCTTGGGGCACCTTGGGCGGGTCGTTCGTCGGGGCGTACCTTTTTAAGATGTACAAGTCCCAGTCCTGGCTTCCTCCCCGCCGAAGCCGAATCCTTTGGAGGCGTCCTGGAAGCCAGACATGTGTGCACCGAAGTTCCTGCTTAGAGAAAACCTTCAGATTGTATGTTATGAGACATCCATCTTTGGCTCGCGTCGCTGTTCGGCACGTTGGGAGAATATGGAATCCCTCGCTAAACGAAGAAACGTCAAGCTCCAGCAACGTGCTCTGAAAACAACAGATGGCGACATTTGCACATCTGGCCAGCCTCAATATCGATGCCAGCCGGTCTTTGACCCGAAGCGACTCAGCGTTATAGTTCCAAACATTCATCAATCGTGTCGATCTTTGTCGACGGCGACGCATACGAAAATGACGTGCCGCCACCTCCATGGAGGTAAAAGGTGGAGAATTCTCAGGAAGATTGGATTCTTGCATGATGGTCTGGACCCAGTCGGCGTTAGCGAGGGAGCCCACGGTGGAGCGGTCATAGTACTTACCAAGGTACCAGCACCACCCTACGATCAGCGTCCTACGCACAGCTCGCCTCAAGGCCCGCTTGCCACCCCTACGCCCTGTCTCCGTCGCCATGAGCAGCCAAACGAGCCACTGGGTGACGTTCACCTAGCTTGGGCCGGCTAGGAGCGCTCGCCTCGCCAACGCACAAAAACGCAAGATGCCATGGCGCGTCGGGCTGGGCTGGGAGTTGCGACCCAGCACGCAAAAGGCAGCACGCTGTGTCCTCGAGCCGTCGAGGCTTCGGCCAGACTTCTGCCGACCTCCGCCAGCGTTTCGCCCGCGGCTGGGGCCAGATCTCGGACCACCCCAAGGGAACACACAAGGGCAACCCCTCCGCAAGGTCGGGGAACAATGTTCTTCGAACACATGGCCGATGCAGTAGAACAAAGCATTACCACCGAGAAATATTATACGAACGCTTCGCGCAAACCATAAAAGGTTCCTAGAACATAATTTTGGCGGTGGACAAACCTCCCTTTAAAGCGGCCTAGGACCGAAACCGACGGACCTGGACCATGACAGCCGCGACGCCCTCTCGCGAACCGAAAACGGCCAATTCGCGAATCGACGCGTCAGGATAGGAGGTCTATCAACCTCCGATTCTTTGGTGGGCCTATAGACAAGCCAGGACGCTTCGCCACTGCTCGATTGCCAGGGCCGCCCGAGGCGGGATCGAAGAGGTGGTCGGTCCGCCGGGAGCCCGGGGACGGGAGCCAGCGCGCGCGCGAGCCTAGCTTGCCTCCCTCTTCCCCTCCTCCTCCTCCTCCTCCTCCTCCTCCTCCTCCTCCTCCTCCTCCTCCTCCTCCTCCTTCCAGGCGAGGGCGCGGCGAGCCTCCCGCTCGAGGGCGTCGCTGATCTCCTGCGCGCGCCCGCGGCTCCAGGCGGCGGGAGCTCCCGGAGCGAGAGAGCCACGGCGGCGTCTGCGGTCGCTCACCTGGGCCTGCTCGGGCCGATCCCCCATCTTCGGCCCGGAGGCCGCACCCCCTCTCTTAACGAACGAACGAACACACACCCATACCCATAGGGAGGTCGTTGGGAGGAGGACTGGCTATGGGTATGGGTGCGGGTTGTCGGACTCTGGGGAACGCTCCCGTTCGAGCGGGGACCCCCACCCGACAACACGCACCTATAGCCCTCTCCGATCCCCCTATAGGTATGGGTGTGTGTGTGTTGTTGGTTCGTCATCTCTGTTCCACGGCGTGTTCCCACGCTTCCCTGGTCAGTGCAACTCGCCTGGGCGTCGTTGCCGGATGGGCTGGTCGGGGCTTCTTCTTTGGGGTCGCGGCCGCAAGCGAAGGCGCGGGCGGCGTCAAGGGTCGTCCCGGGCTACGGGCGGAACCCAATTATCCAGCGAGCGAACTCACGGCTGCCAAAGCTACCGCCGAGGGACGCTGAGCGGCGCCGGGGGCTGAAGGCAGGCTGCAGGAGCTGCCAGGAGAGCCAGGCGGGGTGGCCGGAGCACGCGAAGCGTCAAGAATCATTGCACAGTGCTGCCTTTATGGCATGCACGGTGGGGTGGGGGGCGACCCCCTACTGTGGACCTCCGCCCTGAACGGAACGTTTACCCCGCATGGCCTGATTACCTTCCTCGCACCGCGCATCAAATCCTCGCGCTCCCCACAGTGCCCTCAGCCACGAGTGACCATCCTCATCATGCTGCTCCCACCCCTTTTCAGAAGCGCCTGTTGCTGTCGTCGCTATAACGCGCTCCGTAGTCAGCTACTGTTCCCCTGCTCGGTACCTCTTCTCGGTGGTATCGGGAATGGCCTGTCCTCTTTCACTCATGGTCCGTGCCAGGGGAGCCCTGAATCGAATCGATAAGTCGAATCGGCGATCGAAATGAATCGGATCGGCGGAAATCGACAGCCGAGTCGGGAAAAGTCGAATCGATAGACATCGGCAGGCTAGTAAGCCTCCGTTCAGAAATCGGATCCCAAATCGGAATCCGATGTCGAATCGAATCGGAGTCGGAATCCATCGAAATCGAATCGAATCGAATCTGAAGAATCGAAATGAGCCCTGCCGCGCTCCTCGCCGGTATTTTTCAAGCGTGCCTTCGACCGCGCCGCGCCTTCTCCCTTCTCCGGCGACTCGCTGCAAACCAGCATTGCTCTTGCGCGGCCGCCTGCAGCTGCACAGCGCGCGACTCCTTCGATCCGGTCTTGCCTCTTGCAGTCAAGATCGGCCATTTCAGCCAGGACGAGAGAGTGAGCGTTTTCTTATGCGGCGTTTCGACATTGGGCGGAAGGGGGGGGAGGAGAGGGGGGGTCTGGCTCCAAACCTCTGCTTAGTGCGACTGTCTGGAACCGTGCGACCTCTGGGTGAGACGCCACCTGCTTGAAAGAGGCGCCAAAAACAACCAAGATTCACCCCATGGGGGGGGGGAGGGGGGTGCGAACGCCCGCGCCGATCGGCAAAACAACGAACAAGAAATCGATCACGAGAAGGCCCCCCTGCTCCACCAGGCCCGCCAGCCTCGGAGGAGGCAGGACGAGGTCGCGGTCGAGGACGAGGGAGGAGGCACGAGGAACGAGGAGCGAGGAGGGGCGAGGCCCAGGGCGAGGGCGAGGGCCGGGATGAGGAGGCACCGAGGAGCGCCCCAGGGGGGGGGCGCGGGAGGTCCTCCGCCAGGCTCGGCTGCCTCTCCTGGCGAGCCTTTCGCCGGCCGCGGCCCGGCAGCGCGGGCGCCAGCTGCAGCCAGCAGGCGGCGGCCTCGGCGCAGCTGTGGTCGTCGTCGTCGTCGTCGTCGCCGATCGGGCGTTGGACCTCCGACCGTCATGCAGAGATATCGTGTCCCTCCAACCCGTGCTCCTGTCGCAGGGGCACGCGACCCCTAGCCAGCAGCGCGGCGCCTCCTGCGCGAGGGCCGCTTGGCACGAGTGGGCACCAGTCGAGCTTGCCACGCGGTCGTGGCGCCGACACCTGCACCGCCGACGGGAAAAGGAAGCCGGGCAGAGTCCAGGAGGAAGGGGAGGAGGAGGAGGAGGAGGAGGAGGAGGAGGAGGAGGAGGAGGAGGAGGAGGAGGAGGGGAAGGCAGCCCCGACCTTTGGATCTGATGCCACCAGATTCCAAAATGTATGTAATGACTATGGCCAGGGGCTGCCTGACCTCAAAGTAGCCTGACGAAAGACCCAACCATACGTAGTTTGTGAATACCGCACTTGTGGATATATTCCTCGGTGGCGCTCCCTATGGGGCCACGAACCGCATGAAGGGCGTGCCGAAATGTGTGGCGGGGGCACACAACGCGAAGGAAAATTATATTTCTGACTACGAGAGACTGAACGCGGATGAGTCTGAGCGCGAGTGCGTCTGTTTGTGAATGGGATTGCGTGCGAGCTCCATATGGGGCCACAGAACGTGTGAGGGGTGTGCCAGAATCAGGGGTGGAACCGCATGCGAGCGCAGCCACTGGGGCCTTCGGTGGAGCTCCCTATGGGGCCACGAAACGTGTGAGAGGTGTGCCAGAATTGGGGGTGGAACCGCATGCGAGCGCAGCCACTGGGGCCTTCGGTGGAGCTCCCTATGGAGCCACGAAACGTGTGAGGGGTGTGCCGGAATGGGGGGCGGAACCGCATGCGAGCGCAGCCACTGGGGCGTTCGGTGGAGCTCCCTGTGGGGCCACGAAACGTGTGAGGGGTGTGCCGAAAAGAGGGGTGGAACCGCATGCGAGCGCAGACGCTGGGGCCTTCGGTGGAGCTCTCTATGGGGCCACGAAACGAGTGAGGGGTGTGCCGAAATGGGGGGGTGGAACCGCATGCGAGCGCAGCCACTGGGGCCTTCGGTGGAGCTCCCTATGGGGCCACGAAACGTGTGAGGGGTGTGCCAGAATGGGGGGTGGAACCGCATGCGAGCGCAGCCACTGGGCCTTCGGTGGAGCCCCTATGGAGCCACGAAACGTGTGAGGGGTGTGCCAGGATGAGGGGTGGAACCGCATGCGGGCGCAGCCACTGGGCCCTTCGGTGGAGCTCCATATGGGGCCACGAAAAACGTGTGACGGATGCGAGTGCCGAATTGGCGGTGGAACGCAGTGCGAGCGCAGCCACTGGGGCCTTCGGTGTGGAGCTCCCCTATGGAGCCACGAAACCGTGTGAGGGAGTGTGCCTGATATGGGGGATGGAACCCGCATGCGAGGCGCAAGCCACTGGGGGCGTTCGGGTGGGAGCTTCCCTGAGGGGGCACGAAACGTGTGAGGGGTGTGCCGAAAAGTGGGGTGGAACCGCATGCGAGCGCAGACGCTGGGGCCTTCGGTGGAGCTCTCTATGGGGCCACGAAACGAGTGAGGGGTGTGCCGAAAAAAATGGAGGGGGAACCGCATGCGAGCGCAGCCACTGGGGCGTTCGGTGGAGCTCCCTATGGGGCCACGAAACATGTGAGGGGTGTGCGAGAATGGGGGGGCGGAACCGCATGCGAGCGCAGCCACTGGGGCGTTCGGTGGAGCTCCCTATGGAGCCACGGAACGTGTGAGGGGTGTGCCGAAATGTGGGGTGGAACCGCATGCGAGCGCAGCCACTGGGGCGTTCCGTGGAGCTCCCTGTGGGGCCACGAAACGTGTGAGGGGTGTGCCGAAAAGGGGGGTGGAACCGCATGCGAGCGCTGGTGCCTTCGGTGGAGCTCTCTATGCGGCCACGAAACGTGTGAGGGGTGTGCCGGAATGGGGGGGGGGTGGAACCGCATGCGAGCGCAGCCACTGGGGCGTTCGGTGGAGCTCCCTATGGGGCCACGAAACGAGTGAGGGGTGTGCGAGAATGGGGGGTGGAACCGCATGCGAGCGCAGCCACTGGGGCCTTCGGTGGAGCTCCCTATGGGGCCACGAAACGTGTGAGGGGTGTGCCGGAATGGGGGGTGGAACCGCATGCGAGCGCAGCCACTGGGGCGTTCGGTGGAGTTCCCTGTGGGACCACGAAACGTGTGAGGGGTGTGCCGAAAAGGGGGGTGGAACCGCATGCGAGCGCAGCCACTGGGGCCTTCGGTGGAGCTCCTTTTGGGGCCACGGAACGTGTGAGGGGTACGCCGAAATGGGTGCAGGGGACGCATGCTGCTGATGATGATGATGATGATGATGATGATGATGATGATGATGATGATGATGATGGTGATGGTGATGGTGATGGTGATGGTGATGGTGATGGTGATGGTGATGGTGATGACGCGGAGGATGATGATGATTATGATGATGATGATGATTATGATGATGATGCTGATGATGGTGAGGAGGAGGATGACAATGATGATGATGGTGGCGATTACGGCGATGATGATGGCGATGATGGTGATGATGACGATGATGACGATGATGACGACGACGATGATGACGATGACGATGACGACGATGATGGTGATGATGATGACGATGATGATGATGACGGGAGGAGGGAGGAGAGGGGAGGAGGAGGAGAGGAGAGGAGGACGCGGGGCACCGTCTCTTCAAAACGAGGACCCAACACCACAGGATGGTTGGGAAAAAAGAAGAATAGCTCGATGAGCTCGCCCGGCAAAAATAGAGCAGGGCCACGCACGGTATATTTGACACATCAGTTCAGACGTCCAAGAAACTCCGACCACCATGCCACAATAGGTAGATAGAGCGGCGAGCATCAAATGGCAGAAAGCGACTCTGGGACACGCCGTCTGAGCGGCACGAGTATGCCAGAATGCCAGTCGTACAAATGTCATACAGAATGCTGCGGTACAAATTTAAGTGCTTCACCTCGGCACCCCTCGGGCCGCAAAACGACGAAGAGGAATGAGGAGAAGGGCATGACGCAGAATAGATCGATGAGCACGCCCTGCATGAAGCACAGTAGGGCCGCATAAGATACCTCTGACACCACAGGCCAGACGACCGAGAACCTTCGACCACAATCCACAATAAGAGCAGATGATGAGAAGAGCAACAGGTCGCAGAGCACGAAGCTGAGGCAAGCCAGCGATACCAGCCCTGTATACCAAACGATTAGCTCGCTGAGCACGCCCAGTGATGTGTATCGGCCAGGCCACAGACGATCCTACTGGCGCCACAGCCAGCCAGTTGATCAGCTCGCTCGTTCAGAAACACCCCAGTATGACTCTCGACCTTCCTGAAGATGGCATGACCAGCAACCTGATTGCAAATATGGCGAAGTCGAAGTACTAGTCGACAATTCGCCCTCCCTCGAATGCGTCGCCGGGCCACGCCCGCCGCATATTCCGAATCTTATTCGGTAAAGATCGATGAAGGAGAAGAGGAGGATGATGATGACGAGATATAATCTTGAGCCCAAGACAAAAAGCAAAGAATAGTGCGGATAACTCGCCCACGTTGTTGGTGTGCCGGCGAGCACCGATATACCCAGGGTCGTGTGGGTCCAGGGTGGTAGGCCCACAGTAACCCTTGAGTTCGGTCAAAGATGGCGAAGCAGTAGTGAAGCCCCAGCCGGAGCATTCAGCTGCCTCGTCGCCCCCGCTCGCGAAGGAGCCATCGCAGGATAAGATGGTCTCCGCTGGAAGCCAGAACTCGGAAGCGGAAGGCTGCAGGGAGAGGCGAACGGCTTGCCGGGCACCGCGGCGACGCCCAGGAAGATCAGCGCCAGGTTTGATCCGTTTCAACGGAGGCAGCGCCATGCTGTCTATATATATATATACATATATATATATATATATACGGACAGCCCCCCCTCCCTCTTCCACGAAGCTGGAGACGCATCCTCTTCTCATCATCCCTGCTCCTTTCCGTTCCTCTTCCCGAGTCACGTGTTGCAAGCGGAATGCTTTTTCTAACGCAACCTCAGAAGATGCAAGCGTCCGCTTCCCCCGCCTTTGGGAGAACAGGTATAAGATATCAGCGGCAGCGCTAACAAGAACGATAAGCGAACCATATGATTTCTCAGGCATTCCAGGGATGCACAGGGATGCTAAGTGACGATCGCTGTGCAGGCTCAGGGATCCCAGGGATTCCAAGGATGCGAGGTCACGATCCCTGAGCAGGCTCAGGGACCCCAGGGATTCCAGGGATGCGAAGTCACGATCCCTGTGCAGGCTCAGGGATCCCAGGGACCCCAGGGATTCCTAACCCTCCAGCAAAACCGACCTGGGGATCCACCAGCGATCCCGCGCTCAGAATCCCTAGGGATCCCTGAGCCTGCTCAGGGATCGCGACGTCGGTTGTCAGCAAACCATATGATTTCTCAGGGATCCCAGGGATTCCAAGGATGGCAAGTCACGATCCCTGAGCAGGCTCAGGGATCCCAGGGTTCCAGGGATGCGAAGTCACGATCCCTGTGCAGGCTCAGGGATCCCAGGGATCCCAAGGATTCCTAATCCTCCAGCAAAACCGACCTGGGGATCCACCAGCGATCCCGCGCTCAGAATCCCTGGGATCCCTGAGCCTGCTCAGGGATCGCGACGTCGGTGGTCAGCAAACCATATGATGTCTCAGGGATCCCAGGGATTCCAGGGATGCCAAGTCACGATCCCTGAGCAGGCTCAGGGATCCCAGGGATTCCAGGGATGCGAAGTCACGATCCCTGTGCAGGCTCAGGGATCCCAGGGATCCAAGGATTCCTAACCCTCCAGCAAAACCGACCTGGGGATCCACCAGCGATCCCGCGCTCAGAATCCCTGGGAGCCCTGAGCCCGCACAGGGATCGCGACGTCGGTTGTCAGCAAACCATATGATTTCTCAGGGATCCCAGGATTCCAGGGATGCGAAGTCACGATCCCTGAGCAGGCTC